AGGTGAATACAGGACTAGGATATGAGGAGGTGAATATAGTCCAGAATCTGAGACAAGGTGAAGTCCAGATGTCTTGCTGGATGAAGTGTGCATAGGGTGGATGGGATAGGGTAGTATGGATCAGGCCAGCAGTGAGGATCCAGAGGTCTGGAGCTCAGAGGTAAATCTGGAGCGGAGTCGATCCTGCTGAGGTATGGAGCACACAGTGGAAGGGGATCTGGGAATGAGTCAGATATGGGGTCCAGACATAGGCTTGGAAGGTGTGGGAATATTATGGAATGTGGGTCCAGATTGTGGAATATGACAGGCAGCTACAATCTCCAAATTTACTGTAGCTGGTCAGTAGTTGAGATGTTGATCATTGGCCATTGCTGAATCATTTACACAGGGAAACAGGTCAAGATGATCAGTGCAAGACTATGATCCCAACGTTTGTCTCACCTGGAGAGTAGTGTTTTGGTAACCTGCTACATCCAAATTGACCCACTTGAGAGTGAGCATCCTCAACTTTATGGACATGCATTTGCCACAGTCTGGGACTATGGTGAAAATAAAGGTAGTTATCTCAATTTATTACAAAGCTCACCTTCTGATTTTGTTAAGTTGGCTGGGTGATGCAGCTTGTCATCAATGAAGCAGTCCATCAGTGTTACATCACAACCCACCTCTTGCAAGCTCTGAAGTGCCATACCTTATTCACCCATGTTAACATCACTGGTCTCATCTCATCTCACCCTGCTGCTTGCAATGCTTTGGTGAAATATGCTGGTGAGTTACAGTGGCTCAAAAAACTGTCTGCATGTTTTGACATTTTTGACTATCTATGATATTGTGTGAGAACAAACAAATGGCTCAAGGACATGCTTATACCACATTGTAGTATGGCTTCAGGGCTTTCATTTGAGCCCTACACCGTGGGAATCGGTGGAGATATGGTGGAGACATAAGGCTTACAAAATCATGACTCATGCGGACAGTTTTTTGAGCACATATTAAAACTATATAAATCATCATTTATGACACCATAACAATCATGCCACCATTAAATAAATTATAAAGTGGTGTCATTATGTCATTTTAAAACCATATCTAACTATACAAACCAAAAATTTCCATATGTCATGGTTATATTCACCATGAAAGCCACCTCCCCTGCTCAAAGGGATAATATCCTCTCTCTTTCCTATTCTGGCCTCTCTGCTTGTCAAATTTCCTCTAGAACTGGAGTATCCAAGTCCACTGTGGCCAAGTTCATCAAAGAAAGTCACACAGACAAGGAAAACTTCTGTGAAGGGTGTCCATCCAAGCTCACCTCTACTGATAGGAGGGCTATTATTCAACATATCACTACAGGAAAGGCTGATAATGCTGTCCAGGTCACCTATTACATCAATTCCACCATCACATTCCCTGTCTCTTCACACACTGTGAGAAACATTCTCAAGACAGCTCATCTCAGGTCAGTAACAAGGAAGAAAAGGCTTTCCTCTCTATCACACATATGCAGAGAGGACTAGCACCCTTCTTTTTTCACATATATACCTTGCCATCTGACCCAATCCTATTTATTGTGGTCTTATATGATCATATAACATGCTTCCAGTCCATGTAATCCAATTCTGATGGGCTAAGGCAAAGGTTAGTCATCTCTGTTTATGTGTGATAGAGAGGAAAGCCTTTTCTTCCTTGTTACTGACCTGAGATGAGCTGTCTTGAGAATGTTTCTCACAGTGTGTGAAGAGACAGGGAATGTGATGGTGGAATTGATGTAATAGGTGACCTGGACAGCATTATCAGCCTTTCCTGTAGTGATATGTTGAATAATAGCCCTCCTATCAGTAGAGGTGAGCTTGGATGGACACCCTTCACAGAAGTTTTCCTTGTCTGTGTGACTTTCTTTGATGAACTTGGCCACAGTGGACTTGGATACTCCAGTTCTAGAGGAAATTTGACAAGCAGAGAGGCCAGAATAGGAAAGAGAGAGGATATTATCCCTTTGAGCAGGGGAGGTGGCTTTCATGGTGAATATAACCATGACATATGGAAATTTTTGGTTTGTATAGTTAGATATGGTTTTAAAATGACATAATGACACCACTTTATAATTTATTTAATGGTGGCATGATTGTTATGGTGTCATAAATGATGATTTATATAGTTTTAATATGTGCTCAAAAAACTGTCCGCATGAGTCATGATTTTGTAAGCCTTATGTCTCCACCATATCTCCACCGATTCCCACGGTGTAGGGCTCAAATGAAAGCCCTGAAGCCATACTACAATGTGGTATAAGCATGTCCTTGAGCCATTTGTTTGTTCTCACACAATATCATAGATAGTCAAAAATGTCAAAACATGCAGACAGTTTTTTGAGCCACTGTATCACCCTCATTATATTCAGATGTTAATACTAAAATTATGAAGCTGCTAATATCAAGGACATTGAATTGGACTTCATTTGTCAACATGCAAAGGGCATTCTGGCATCTTCCCCCATTAGCTATCTAAAGGCCACTCAACTGAGAGGTTCACTCTTCCAAGACAGCTGTGACAACAGAGCTATATCATCTTGTTGGATAATGGACAAACATTGGACATTACCATAGTTTACATATGTTTGGTTCACTTACAACTTTACCTATTGCTTAGCACTCAGTAGACCTCAGTGACTTACTGCATCACTGAGTGTTATACTTGCTGCACATCTGTGTTCACCAAGTTTTATGTTGACCACACTGAGCCTTTAGTGGTGTTGGAACAGTACAAGAAAAAAGGTCAATGGTGCTTGGGTGAGCTTCTCAATGGACATGAATTTCTTGCTGTTTTTCCTATTGCACCCATGAGCCCAGTTCACAATGATAACTAGTATGCCCTACATATCTGATCAGAGAGTAGAAGTTGAAATACCACTGTGTATGTAGTGAAAAAAATTTGGCCTAGTGTTCTGCAAATGGCTGTAGCTAATATCTAGCTTGATCCATCAGACACACCACACTCAAGTTGTGTGTAGATATGAATTGAATATATGGCAGATCCTCCTATGCAACAGACCTGTAAATAAAAGGTGCTTCTGTATGAACCCCATGTCATCCCCATCATCCCCATCCTCCTGCTATATTTCAGCACATGCTAGGCATGCAGCACCATCCACATGGAGCTGCCAGAGCACCTACAGAAAAACCTGTTGTACAGCTCAGGGGGTTCAAAATATGAATTTGTACCCATTGTCCCACTTATTCCCGACAATCTTTTCATGGACACAGTGTCCGATAATTGCCACAGTGGTTTTGACCCATCAGGACTAGGTTGGTTTGGTGAAGGACTTGGTGGTAGTGTTGCCACTGAGGCGAATTGAATCGAATTGAGGTGGGAAATTGCAGCAACTTGACACAACTCAGCACTTACGAGTTGTAATGAATTGTGCCTCATTTGATTCGCGAGTTAGTAATGAGTTTGGGAGTGATATGGACTGAAAGTCCAGCCAATGAGAAGCCAGTGACGCTCATACCACCAACAATGACTATTTGCAAGTAGCTACACAAATCATGTTCTCCCTAAGTGCAAGGAACGAGCACATGGTTAGAATGTAGTCTATGCCATTTCAGGTAGGAAATGTGCATGCCTTCTTTCTTCTCCCCATCACCCAGCCTCCAGTGTCATAACTGGTGTTTCAATCTTCTAGTTGATTCTGCCTTTAAAAGCAGTAGCAGCAGACTGCAATAAGTGGAAAGCTTAATATTCAGTAATATAACATGGACAGGTTACGTTCTGATCCTGTTAAGAACCATGTTGCTCAAGGGGGAGAGAGACTGACTCAGAGGGGCTTGGCCTCAGCTCATACACTGTGCCCCTTACCCAAGTATGTGCCCTTCATTTCATATGAGGTCTGATGATGGTCCGATGAAGTCCAGAGGACTTCCGGAGGCTGGCTACTCTGCTGGAGAGTGCTAGAGGACTTCTGGAGGAGCATGGGAAATGTCCGGAGGAGCACGGGAGAGTTCTGGAGGAATACAGGAAGTGCTCAGGAGAGTTCCCACTACAAGGTAATACTTCTACAGGAAACAGGATGGAAGGATAGGAGGTCTGAAGGTCTGGAGGACAGGATGTCCGAAGGTATGGAGGGTGGAACGTCCAAAGGACAGGACATCCGGAGGTCCAGAAGGAATAGGGGCTACATTGGACGAAGTCCGATGTAGAAACAAGCAGGGGTAGACTACCCTAAGGTAGAGTTGGAGGGACAGGGATTGGAGCTAAGTCCGGAAAGAGGGTAAGTGCCGGAAAGGTGGAGCTCCGGCCTAGGGAATCAATCCCTATGCCTGATGGGTAGGACAGACTTAGGTGGACCAAAGTCTGAGAGAGGATTGGGCAAATCTAAGTTGATATTCAAACTGAGGAACTACAGGAGTATCTACAGGGGTTATATACTGAACAATATCTGAGGGGATCAGTAAGCAAAGGAGCAAGGCTATGTACAAGCATGTGGAAACACATTAGTAAGTAAGTCGGAACATAAGTAAATGAACTCGGAGATGAGGACTTATACAAGGATCAATAAGCAAGATGGAACAAGAGGTAACTGAAAACCGGAAGGCAGAGAATGCCTAAATGGGGATAGGCGCAGGATATCGGACAGAGGGTGGGAATAGGTCCGGAGTTAATATCCGGAGGTCCGGAGATCTGGGGATCCGGAAGACAAGGTGGATACAGGACCAGGATATGAGAAGGTGGATAGAGTCCGGAACCCGAGACGAGGTGAAGTCCGAATGTCTTGCTGGATGGAGTGCACATAGGGTGGATGGGACAGGGGGTTATGGTTCAGGCTAGCAGTGGAGATCTGATGGTCCGGAGCTCAGGGGTAAATCTGGAGCGTAGTCGATCCTGCTGAGGTGTGGAGCACACAGTGGAAGGGGATCTGGGAATGAGTTGGATATGAGGTGTGGTCCAGATGTAGGCTCGGAAGGCGTGGGAATATGATGGAACGTGGGTCCAGATCGTGGGATATGACAGATCCAAGTTTTTTAGTATGCCCAGACTTTATGACCAAATGGTATAGAGTCAGCTGCACCAGCATGGTCAATGCCAATGTCACAGAAGCTCAAGCAGCAGAGACTCTCCGCAACATCTGGATAATGACCAATGAAGATTTGTGTCTACAATGGCATCAACAAGTCATAGAAGACAAACATTTGAATGCTGAGAGGCGCTGCTTAGCCAAAGAAGAAGCAGAGTGGCAGAAGGCTGTACTTGAACTTGAGGAAGCCACAATGAGAGCAGATGAGAGAAAGAAAAACTGTTTCAAGCATTTGCCAATTCCAGTGCAACCACATCCACTTGTCAATGATGAAGAAGCTTTAGTTTCCAAGTTCGCCTTGCGAAAGTTGGACAAGGGTCATTATGTTGAACTATACTATTGGACCAATCACAGTCTTGATGATGTGATGATCAATCATTGCACCCGAGACAATGACAGTATGGTACCTACCAAGGGCAAGGATGGTTCCACAGTCTGGATCAACACGGTGTCATCAAAACCCGCCTCAGGAGTCATTCCAGATTGTAACCTAGCACCGGCTGATTTCTCTCAAGCAGTACCATGCATAGTGGTAGCGCTAGAAGATCGAGATTGGGCTCAGCAAAGAGTTTTAATGTTAGCACAGTTTTGGGGAGCTATCATGGTTCATCACTATTGGAACTCCCATGATATGTTGGCTCAGAAGGCCATTCTCTTGTTCCAAGAAGAACAATGTTGTGCATGGCGCAGCACCATCACTTCAGCCAAAGGAGCATGGGACATCTCGGTCATCAACAAGATGGCCCTAGCACGCACCTTTGAGTGAGTTTATTGGTCATCTCTCATCCGCTCAGACAACCTGAGACCAAACCCCCAGGTATGTAATTTGTAGCCATTTCGAAGTAACCCATCACTGATTGTTTTTCTTTATTTTAACTCATCACAATTATCAAATGTCATTGATAATTCTGTACATCGGCATCACCTTCTGTCTTGTGCATTTGCCTTATGTGTTATTGCATGTGCTGTTTCGAAATCTTGCGGTTGCATTGGCGTTTATCAATTTGCGATCGTGGTCACCTGCATTCTAATCTCATGGCTGTTTACCATCAGATTCAGATCCAAGGCAATAGTTCTTGAAGTGGGCAGGGTGAACAACCCTCCCACAAGTGTTTGAGATGTTCAAGGCAGTCCATGTCTCCACAAGCTTGGCGTCGCTCAGCTTCTCCTGGAGCCAATAAGAAGAGTAGTGGAGTGAGAAACTCTCATGCACCTGCACACCAATTGGGTTTTCAAGACAGCGTACATGGCCATCGTGCCCCAGCTGTCACCACTCACTCCAACAAAGCTCTCCTTTTGCGAGGCTCAGACAAACCACTATGCATTGACTGGCAGCACATGTGAAGCTGCCCCAGTCGACAGCACAACGACAAACATGTGTGTTCAGGATGCTTGGCCACATCTCATGGAGCCCAAGCTTGTTCTTGAGCACAGGTGACACCAGCCGGTCACCCCATATAATCATGCAATATGGGAGAGTCAACTTCATGCTCATGACCTTATCGACATCTATCCAACTTTACCGGCAGGACTTCAGTCAGGTTTCAACATCAACATCCCCAGTATTCATCATACTCAATCCCCGCCTAATAGCCCCTCGCTCATCACCTTTCGGTTTGCCTTTGAGACTATCTTGGACCATGAACTTACCATGGGATGTTATATTGGTCCCTTCACACATGACAATCTACTACATCTTCTGGGTCCCTTTCAGTCCTCTCCCATCTCCATTATACCCAAACCAGGGAAGCTGGGCAAGTTTTGCATCATACAGAATTTTTCCTTCCCCCTGGTCCCTTCTACGATCTATCCCAACAGGTCAATCAACTCAAGTGTTAACTCCGATGATTTCCCATGCACTTGGGGTACATTTGACACCATCTGCACCATCATACGATCACTCCCACCAGGGTCCCAAGTGGCCACATGCAACATGGCAGAAGCATATTGTACCATTCCTTTGCATGCCTCGCAATGGGCAGCTGCAGTGGTCTGTCTCCCAGATGGAGACTTTTGCATCGACACATGTGTCACCTTTGGCATGGGACCCTCTGCAGGTGCCTATGGCCACATCACAGATGCTGGCATTGACTTACTACGAGCTGTGGGTCTGGGTCCACTTGCCAAATGGGTGGATGACCACATCTTTTTTCACATTCAATGAGAACATCTCCTCAACTACAATGCACACAGGAGTGCTGTACATACTCTCCTGGACATTGGAGGACAAATGCAAATGGGAGGGCAGTTGTGGCACAAAGGCAAGGTGTTTGAGGATGACAGCTTCAAAGTCCATGCCAAAGATTGTAGGTTCCTGCTTCATGACCTATCACAATCCTCCTTGCGGGCTGATGTTGATGCAGAATTTGTGTTCACCTTTGCAGACATTGATCACACCTCCTTACCATTGGGTGTCCCTTGGGAACTGACCAAGGATTCAGTCTTCGCCTTCATGGCGTTATACCTGGGCCTGGTCTGGAACCTCATCAAACTTTTGGTCAAATTATTGTCGGCAAAGAAGAATAAGTACTCTGCAGCCATCGCAGAATGGCAATTGAAGCCCATGCATGTTCTCCTCGAGGTCCAATGGCTCTATGGCAAACTACTTCATTCCTGCCTGGTGGTCCCAGCAGGACGCACTTACCTCACCACATTGGAAACCATGCTCAGAATCTGCACCAATCATCCTTTCATGCCACATCACTCTGTTTGCCACCTCAATGACGACCTCAACTGGTGGCGAGCCAAGCTCACACAATCATGTGTCCATCACTCAATCACACAACCCTCCTCTCTCATTGACATTCATGCATTCTCCAATGCCAGCATGTCTGTCAGAGTTGCAATTACTCTCGATGGGTATTGGCATGCCTGGACCCTGCATCCAGGGTGGTCAACACTTGACAGCCAGTGAGACATTGGATGGGCTGAATGTGTGGGATTCAAGCTCCTCATCCACGCCATCCTTAACGGCCATGAAGCACATTCCTCTGACCACTATCGCATGTTCTGCAACAATCAGGGAATTGTCAATGACTGGAAGAACAGTCACAGCAGGAATTGGGCCACTAACCTCATCTTCCATCAAATCCATCAACTCCTTGACTCAGTTGGGAGGGGAACTTCATTCCATCTGTCCTATGTTGCCAGTGCCAACAACCCTGCAGATGGGCCCTCTAGAGGCATCTTTCCCCCTCATCATTTCCTCCTTCCACCCATTATCCTTCCTGGTGACCTCTCAAAGTTCCTTGTCGATGCCAACCTATCAGCCACACCTCTTAACACCCTCGTCATCAATCAGAACCTGAGCTCTGATGAGCTGGTTGTCGAGGCAGACAACTGGAACTGGGGCAATCAACTCTGCAAGTTCCATGATGCTTGGTGGGACTAGAACCTCCTGTTTCCTCGACACTCCACCAATTGTTCCAATGACCACAGTAGCACAGCTGCGTCCCTACAAGTCTACACTAACCCCATCAACTTCAGTCCTGAGACCACACTGTCTGGCTTGGGATCGACTAAGGTTATGGGTACCCACAGTATTGCATTCACGCTTAGATCACACTGGAGCTGTGGTTGCAATCTCAGAGGACAACCTAGACTGTATACTTGTCATCATTGCGCACTCACACACCCCAAGCACGAGAGAGACTTACAGCTCTGGTTTGTTAGTTTTTCATGTATTTTGTGATTCATGCAACATCACCGAGATACAGCGGTGCCCAGCTCCCTTGCTCCTCATCCTTGCCTTCATCACTTCTTGCATGGGGATGTACTCTGGAAGAACACTTGAAAACTATCTATATTCAGTACATGCATGGCATTTGCTGCATGGTCAGCCCTGGTTGGTCAATCACAACCAAGTCTCATTAGCACTGGAGGGTAGCAAATGGCTTGCACCAGTGACTTCGACTCGACCAAAACGAACCCCATTCACAGTGGATCTCATCAAAGACTTACACTCCATGCTAGATCTTGACACGCTGCTTCATGCAGTGGTCTACACATGTCTCACTACCTCCTTCTTCACCATCGCAAGGACAGGAGAGTTCACAGTACCGACACTGTGGGGCTTCGACCCGTCGGTACATGTGAAAGTAGGTGACATGAGGAATGAGAGAGATTGGAATGGTTTTGAGGTGACAGTCTTTCATCTGCCATGTACTAAAGTCACAATTGCTGGAGAAGAGGTGTTCTGGGCAGCACAGTCAGGTGTTGTCAATCCTCAAGTGGCACTCACAAACCACCTTGCCATCAACAAATTGTCCTCAATGGATGCACTCTTCAGCTGGAAACATCATGCAGGCACATGACCCTTGACGAGGACCCAGTTCCTCAAGTGTCTACAATCAGCAAGTGATCGTTTATGCGGCGACTCATTGAAAGGGCATGGGATCAGAATTGGTGGGACTTTAGAGTATCTACTACGAGGCATGCCTTTCGAATCAGTCAAAACCATGGGCCGCTGGAGTAGTGATGCTTTCCTCATCTATCTAAGAGACGTCACACGTCTAAAGAGACAAGGACTTCGTAAGTCCCCAGTCGAGTATGAACAGACTGATATAGTATGTACCTAAAGAGACAAGGACTTCGTAAGTCCTGTACTACATCAGTAAGGAATGTGAGTATCATATAGTGAGACTTACCCCAGTCGAGTATGAACAGACTGGGGAAGAAGGGGAAAACGAGACGAGCGAATGTACCTGGAGCGGAGTTACCGTATTTAGTAAGTACGTTGAAGGTAGTGAACGCGACACCAAACAAAAAGAAATATCTATACTACTATGTTGACGGGTTGATTTCCAACACACCCCCTCAATCTGGCAACAGACCTATCTCATCAATCATTTTCTGGAACGCGAGACGTGCGAGTGGTTTCGTGAGGCCGTCGGCGAGCATTTCGGCTGATGGGATATGTATGAGCTCGAGAGTACCATCTTCGACGCATTCGCGGATGAAATGGTAATGAACGTCAATGTGTTTCGTGCGTGCGTGGAAACGCGCTTCCTTCGCAAGGCTAATGCATCCAGTGTTATCGACGAATATCTCTGTGCCAGGATCTTTGTCATACATTCCGATATCATGCAACAGATATCCCAGCCATATTGCCTGTTTGGATGCATGTGAGAGGGCCATGTACTCTCCCTCAGTTGACGAGGCTGCGACGGTGGTTTGTTTATTGCTATTCCATGATATGACATGATCGCCAAGGGTGAAGATGTATCCTGAAATTGACCGGCGGTCATCAATATCTCGTGCCCAGTCTGAGTCACTGTATCCGGTGAGGACATCTGCATTCTCGCTGTTCTCCCCGAGCATGAGGCAGAAGCTGTGTGTGCCTGCAAGGTAACGTAAAATGCGCAGTGCAGCTCTCCAATGTGCCTGCCCTGGATTCGCACTGAATTG